TAGGTTGAAAAAGATTTGGCAAACTGTGGAACTGAACTAATCCTTCTTTCCTGTGCACTTGATCCAAATAAAAATCCTGAACTGAATTCTGGTGGATTCCAGCCAGGCCTCACTCTGCCAAGTGCTGGTTGCTTCTCCAGGATTTGTAAGGTTCATTCTCCTGCATCCAGCTGTCAGGTATTGTTAGCTTCATATGTTTAGCTATGTGTTTTAATATCTACTAATATGCTTTGCTAATGAAGTAGAAAAATGGACTGCCGTATCTATTGCACAGGTTCATGTCTTCTCGATCTCTGTGGGTTCCCCTCTGTTATGGTGGATTTGGATTGTATGACACATAGCTTCAATGCCTCTTCATTAGGCTTAAACTCCCTCCAGTAGTGACTTGGTGATGAGGTTTGGCTTGGCTCATCTTCCTTTGACTTCTTCCTACAGTGTCCAGATAACACAAATTATTCCTTGGCACTGACAGAATCCACAGACATATTTGCTGGAAGAATCCTGGTGCCCAAGTGTTGACTAGATGTCATATGCTAAACATGCTTGTAAAATAATAAAATGCAACTCAAAATGTGCAACTAGCTTTAATAACTTTGAGCTTTACTTGTCCTGCTCCCAGTTCTGTGCATTCTCCTACTCCTGGTAGCTGTTACTGTCCCTTCATCTTAATAGCAGTCTCACTTCTGCTATGTGACAAGAAGTTTTAAAACAGGAAGTTAAAACCAAAAAAAAAGCCCCTAATTCAACCAAACCTGCCAAATGTACACATGCTCGATGGACTAATAAGTACCTCTGTTCTTCTCTTCCATGTTTTCAATGTAACAAGATTTCAGGTGGATTTACTCCATAAGCTCTTGTACTTGCGTGTGGCATTTAGCCACCCTTTAGGTACGCAAAGGCAACAACACAGTAAGTGTCCCATTTTCCTAACAGGAACTCACTGAATCAGTAAAAATCTAAATTTCCCATTTTGAAGATTTCCTTTGTTAAAAGTCCACATAAACAAGTTTTTGGCTTACACCTTTTACCGTTCAGCTTTTCCCTTCATTGTACTGATAGCAACATCTAGTGGCAAGATTACCTCATGACAATGCCCTACTTTTGGAAACTGGTCTAGCTCCATTCACATCTTCATCTCCTTTACCGCCACACTGACTTTAGAATTTGAAAAGAATTTGAACTGCGAGGACTTCAACAGTTGTCTTCACTGGCTGCAGTAAAATCCTTTTTTTTTTCCAAAGGAGTATTACTGGCAGCCCTACTAATAATTTTTTCTACGCAGGAAAAGCAAATCAAAATATCAAAACAAACAGTTTGCTGGAATAACAGAACCAAAGCTGCTAATTTTTTCAGTGGAAGCAATGTATCTCCTGTAGAAATGTAGCTGGAATCCTAACACCAGCCATTGTGTAGGATAACATTTGCATACATAAGACCATGATTTCTATATTAAACTAGCTGACTGGGATGCGTCTCTTCCACCAGGAACTGCAAGGATCTGCAAGCTGTGAGTCGGACTTCAATGTTCAGGTTTGCTCATCCAGTAGCTTCCAGTCTTACTGTAATTAAGGATCACCTGAAAAAAATTCATGTTCTAGCTGTTTTGCATGTAATTTTGTATCCAATTTCTCTTACATGTGTACCTGCAGTTGGTTTGATGCATAGTATTAGTAAATAGCTGTACTGATGGTGGCCAATGCTTTCAAACCTGGCTGTCTACTTACATTGTTCTGCTCCTAGATGAAAGTTGGATTTCAGACTTTGTAGTAGAATATGCAGGCATCTCTACTGTGTGCTACCTCCGATTACTGCTCATCTATTCCAAGTTTCACAGAAGCATTAGACAAAGCCACAGCAGACGTGGTAAGGACGTATCTGGGATTTCTGGGCATACAATAGCATGGTTGAAATTACTGTGTTGCATAAACAGTAGCTTTGATTCAGTGAAGCTGTAAGAAATACTGGGCAGATGTAGGAGATCCTCAAAACCCATCTGCATAACATTTTGGGTGAAAAGAGAACATATCCAGAACATGCATATGGTTGCATGGAAGAAAAAAATTACTAGCAGCTAACCCTCCACTAGCCAAGAAAACAGAAGGGCTAGGAAACCAGAAAGCACAGTGAAAATAAAAATGACAGTGGGGTACCCCTGGGAGCCGTGGGGATAGCTGATGCGGTCCACCCAGCCTCTTCACTTACACTCCGACGTGCTGGCAGAGTGAAGCCTGCTACAGGTACTGTGTATTTATGCCGTATCCAAGATTAGTCAAGGAGTTAAGGCCTCTAATTAAGTCAGGTTCCAGCAGAGGGAGTCTTAATTCTGGAATTGCAGACAACAGGTTTTCCAGAGTTCCCCCATAAAGCTGGGAAAGGGCTGCAGCGAAAGCTGTTTTCGTTATGACTGGGGCTACTGCATTTACAAGGATGAGGGAAACCCAAGTTCAACGTTGCTTCTGCACCCCAACAAGGATCTGAATCCAAATCTCACAAATTCCCAGATGACTAAGCTACTAAATACCCTAGTAAGGATTCTCAATCTGTTCTTAAATTTTACTCCATTTTCATATAAATTAATGAATACTAACTGAAGGGAGAGCCTTTTGGATGAACACACAGACAAATTGTGATTATAATAAGGCAATTGTTTACACTCTAATTCAGCCAAATAAGTATTTTGAGGTTTTATTGCATAAAATAGCTCTAAGATGAAAGAAAGAACCCAGGGCTCCACTATAAGCTTTGTGCAAAATGTACTTTCAAGGGGCCAAATTCAAGAAAATATATGAGTGCAAGTATCAACAGAAGATCTGGCAATGATTTAAGGGTTTATACAGAGGGACATGCTGGCTTCTTGGTTGGTATTCCGTTCTATGATTCTGTATTAGTTCTGGCATCCACATTTCAAAGTGATATTGAAAAACTGGACAACACAGAGAGAAAAATGATTGACGATACGAACAGATGAAATACTTCAGTTTTTCCAATAGCCTAATTATGGTGCAGATATCTTTGAAAAGTAAAAAAAAAAAAAAAAGCAACTGTTTTTTTAATCTAGCAAAGAAAGCCAAAAAGCCCTACTCAAAGATATGTTGAAGTCAGTACACAGCAGTTAAATGAAAACAGCTGGAATGCACTAAAAGAAATGGGTGTCTTCAAATCAGGCAGACTTCCCCAAGTCCAGCTAGTTAAGGCTTAATTTATACTTAACATGAAAGCAGCAGGGTGAAGTTCTATAGGCTGAGCAGGACAGAGATGAGATTAGGTAAAATAAATGGTTTAATAATCCCTTCAGGACCTAAACCTGATGAATTGTGTGTCAGGTGCCATTGCCTGTCTTTACACTAGAAACTAGAACAGCTGTCATCATTGAAGACCATGAATAAATACCATTTTCAACATTTACAGTGACCTTTTTTGATTTGAGGAAGGCTGTTTTCCAAAATAAGCATTAAAATTAATGCAATTTCTCCTCCCAACTTGCTTGAGGGGATGTTTTGATTCCTGATGAATTTAATAGTCTCAGAGAAACATTAAAGAGTTTTTTTGGCCAGACCTAGTACTAAGAAATTTCATTTCAGTTCCTGTGGGAAGAGTATTATGACTGACATGACTGAAGATAAAATTCCAGCTACACTAGACAGCACTCTGTCCCTTCTAAAAAAGACTGAGTCTGTAATTAAGTTCTGGATTGTGTCATATTTATTGCAGTTAATACAAACATCTCTCAAACAGTATCAATGCTCAGCCACTGAACAGATAGGCAAAAACATGGGAGTAATGTATAATACTTCAGGCTTTGAAAAAAAACAACCAACAAACCACCCACCTTTACATACTTATGCGACAGTTTTAACTATGTAGTATCCAAAGAAAAAGTAGTTATCCTGTGCTCCTGATATGCAGTTGATCTTTCTTTGTACAGTAGTATTTTGCAAAACGGGAATTACCTCCTTGAAAATAAAATACTGAATGACTAGCAAAAGGTCACAGAAGATCTAACAGAGATACAAGATCTAACCTTGCTGTCTGACAAATATTTTGTTAAGACTTATGTTCCCTCTGTAAGTGCTGCACTAACATCCAGTACCCTTACTGACAGAGGAGAACAAGGAAACCTAACTTTACTGCAAGATGTGGCAGTAAGCTTGTTACTCCCCCAACCACTTCCACTGCAGAAGCCACCCCTAATGATAACACTGATTCATGATGATGCAGCCCCCTTAAGATCATTAAGGCTGTGACACCAAAGCAATAGTTAGCCCACTTGCACTTTTGGTGCACATAGCATGTGTCAGCGCTGTACTGGACATGTGCCAGCGTGACACAATGCTCCCCTTCCCCATGCTCTTAACAGCACTCCAGCCCTTGTAAACTATGTAGGTAACCGAGCAAACGCTGGAAACCTCTGCCTTCTCCTGCAACGCAGCCTACTTCCTTAGGTCAGAGCCCCAATTAGCTCAGTGTTAGTGTTGTACTTGGACCCAAGCTTCAAAGTCTTTATGGTTCTGCACAAGTGGCAGCACAGCAGTGCAGAAATTGTTTCGTGGGGCCCTCTTCATGACAGCTTTTGGGAAGAAAGGTTTATGAGGGGACAGAGGCCTCATAGGGATCTATCAGTCCATCTTGACAGCAGGACAGTTGCTACTCTAGTTACTAAGCTGAAGAAGCCTTCAAGAAGGCACTGGGAATCAGGGATGGTCCGCAAAGCACTAAAACACCTCTTCATTCTACGATGTAAGTCTCTGAAGTTCCCAGCGGACAGCTGTGTTGCTCCACACAACACAAAGGTGAATTTGGAAATAAAAAGTGCTTTGCAAGCTCACCTGCTAGCTATAAAGATGCTCTGGCTCTCTTCTGTCATTCAACACCAAACCATTTCTTACAGGAGGAAAAGCCAGCTGCCAACAACAAAAAAGACAGTACACGCCCATGTCTGAACTATGTCACTTGCAGATAAACATTAAAAAATTGTAAGCCTTAAATAACAAGCAGAGAAGTTTTTCCAATCAAAAATTTTATTGATATTCTTGGCAAATTGGTCTAAATTTATGATCTTGGTCTCTCCTTCTTGCCCTTGTACAAGGCCAAAAGAGAAACATTGGCTACTTTGACAACCTTGAAGCGAACTCCAGGAATGTCACCAACAGCGTGACCCTTCCGACCAAAACCAGCAACCAGAACTTCGTCGTTTTCCTGCAATGAAAGACCATGTAGTTACAGAGCTATCAATATTAAACCGGTACATACTTCTGAAATGGCTAGCATTAAATCTGAGCCATACCCTAGGCTTTCTAAGGAACGGGTGGAAATACTGAAGGCTATTGATAAATATACATGAATAAAGGCCTACTGCCCCCTTCAGTGTTTTGGAAACATAAGCCAAGATGTCATTTAGCTTACAGCAAGAGCATAGCTGCTAAGAAGCACAAAGTACGAAAACGTCCTCAATTTTTCATCTGCCTCTGCAGCTACAGCTTTAAGATACATGTGGTGCAGAATGCCACGAACCCTTGTCTAACCATCCCCTAAATCTGTCGATTATGTGGGTTTTTTTCACTATGACCTACAACCTTTCATAGACTGACTTCTTGAAAATTACCTCAATGAAGTTCAGGCAACCGTCGTTGGGAACAAAAGCTGTTATTTTTTTGCCATTCTTGATCAGCTGGACTCTAACACACTTCCTGATGGCAGAGTTGGGCTGTTTAGCTTCTACGCCACTAAAATGGAAGCACATGGAAACAGATTAGCAAAAATCAGTTTCATGAACTAGAAGATACTCATTACACCATCACAAATTACTGTATTCTTTTGTACTAAGTGCAAGTTGTATCTGTACTTCAAAACCAAAACCTGTTAGTTATCTATTTAGAACTACTTGATATATGGAAGCCCAATTGCTAAGCTAGAGTAAAAAATTAAAATTAATCACCTACAGACACATACTAATTCAGTAAATAAAAATCTGGAGGGGAAATTAAAAAAACCCAACCAACCAAACAAAAAAGAACCACCTTAGAGCACTGGCAGTGTCCCAAGCTTATAATTAGGAAAGAAAATAAAAAAAAGACTAGACGACAAGTAGATGGGATCTTTGAGACAAGGCGCGCACACACACACACACAAAATCCAGGCCACCCCACCCCTGGAATCCTAAACTGAGTGGTATTTTTATTCTTTTGCTTCTCAATAAGCAGGATTCTTAAAGTGACACGTGCACGAGGAAAAAAAAACCTTTCAGCACTGCCGCTTGGGAAACCCAACCGTTTTCAATCTAGCACCCAGAAGCTAGCAGAAACGTGGCACGTTACAGGCAGCAAGCCCTCTCACGCAGTCAGAAAACGAAACAGCTCAGCCGTGCTTCCTTCTGGAGGTCCCTCTCCAAGGCCTCATCTTCCGGCTGGCTTTCCAGGGCAGCCGCCCCCCCCAGGCCGCGCACCGGCCGGCCCCCGCAGCCAGGCGCAGCGGGGCCGTGTGTCGCCCCCCGGTCCCCGGCTTAGCTCTACCCACACTTTCTCCAGGACGATCCCCTTGGCGTGCGAGGCGCCGCCGAAGGGGTTGGCCTTCAGCGCCGTGCCCAGGTGGGCCTTCTTGTACTGCTTGTCGTGCCACTTCTGGTCGCGGCGATGGCTGCGGAGCTTCCGGGCGGTGCGGAGGCCTCGGCACTTCCCTGCGGAACAGAGCCGGAGAGGGAGGAGGGGGGGGCCCGCTCCCGCCGCCGTACACCCCTCCCCGGGCCCCGCGGGGGGGGCCCAGGGGCGTGCGGCCACCCCCGCCTTACGTGGGGAGGGGGCGCAGCCGGGCCCGGCCGCGTCGCTCCCGAGTGGGTAATGGCGGCGGCGCTACCGCCCATGCGGGCGGCGGGAGGGCCCAGAGCCGGCGGCAGGCCGGCAGGGCTGGGAAGGTAGAGCGCTACGGACCCCGCCGCGGTGCCGCCCGGCCTGGCCTGGCGTGGC